TTTTACACATAAGTTCCTCCAAAGCATTTTGTCCTCTAACATCAACAGCAACAGAAGAAGCTGATGGCTGGTGTGAGAATCTTAATTGAAGTGACAGCAAGACTTTGCCAGTTAAGTATATTTTTATGTCAAGAAGAAAAAATAGGAAATGTCAAACTATACCTAAAAGTAGCTACAAGCATGTAAGCTAATAAAATTAGTTTGCACTTCATTCTTTAAAAGTCTCAGCTCTTCCTGTAAATAGTCAACTTCCTACAATTCCTAAAAGTTCAGTAAGAGTTGAAAGCACTTAGTAACTTGCAGGAAGTTGCTCAGCACTGCACCATAGTTTTTATAGAGCAGAGTTTGAAAGTCTGGTTGGTATGACAGAGTCTTCAGAGAGAGACATCTTCAAACAAAGAAGATTGTTTCTCAAGCATAAGTCTTCGGGGATTCACTGTAAGTCACATAGTTGTTAACACATTTAGGTTGATTGAATGTGAGAGTGTTATATGTAGACATCAACTTTCAAAAGGGCTGTGATTTAGAGAGCTGCAGGTGTTGCTTTCGTAAATTTTATAATGTTCAGTGCCAAAAGAGGACATGGCATGAAAAAGCAGATCAACTAAAGCATTTTTTTCAATAGAATGTACTGAAGAAAGCCTTGTCAACGTCTGTGACTTATCTTTCCACTTCTGTAAAACACAGTACAGATGTAACTGTCTAGTCTGACTTTTAGTCACAATATTTAGCTACCTGAAAGATGAAGTATAATGAGACACTGTACATTTCCCCTTGTTCAGTCTTTCCCAGTTTTGGAACTGTGAGTCTTTGGAAGCAGATGACATACTCAATTATTATCAAGTAAATTTTTTATCTGTCATTTGATCACTTGTGACAGCGGATGAAATATAAAAAGACTAAACTTGCACTACAGAATTAGCCTGCAAAATATACCGGCATGTATCCAACACACAAAATATAAATTATCTCTCAGAAGTTTCTGACTAATATTTTTATGGTTTTCAGGTAAGATCAACCAAAGTCCTGGTGACATCACATTTCTATATATTTCAGAATGTTACATATAATGTTCTGCTGAAAAAGGAATCTTAAAAGTCCAGGAGTTCTGCTGTGATCTGGAGTACTAGGGAAAAAGGATAGTGTCTTAGTGTGTGTTAGTCTTAGCTTCAAATGTTTATAGATCATATTTTCTCCTTTTGTAAATCAATATAATTCCACTGACTTCAATAGAGCTATGCCAAGTTAACACCAGCAGATGAATCCAGTCTTTTGTTTTGTATCAAAACTCACGTCTTCTAAAGGTTATTTTAGGCTCTACACTGGGCAAATTGTTGTGACTGTGAAAGTATTATTCAGGTTTCAGAAAAAGGATTTCTGCAGGATGGTGACAGTACAAACCAGCTTCTTCTACCTTGTCAATATGGCCCAGCTTTCTGTTTGAAGAGCTTTTTCGGTAATTTGTAAACTCAGAAGAAAGCACTGTGGTAATTTACTTTGACTTTCTATATATAGAGAGGACATCATAATTTCTGGGATCAAATCAGGAAAGCATCCTGCCTCAATTTAGACATTATTATTATTGACAATTTTACATGATATATATTTCTTTCCCTATTTATTTGCTTTCATGTTTTTAATTTCATTCTTAGTGTGAAAATGTTGAGCTTTAACTTTAGTTAACAGTCTGTTCCTAGGATCTTTCCATACATAGTTACTTCCAGTACTGAGCTGAGGTGGTCCTTAAAGCACCTTTTTGATATACTTGTTCTAACAGAGACTGAGCTCCAAGGACCTCTCCAGAGGAGAAGGAGCATTATAATCTCTAAGACAGTTCAGTGAGTGACATCCATCACAAAGCAATCACTGAAAACACAGACTAAAATCCATGTGGAATTCTCATTTGTTGAAGACTACCAAACTACTTACAAATAAGTAATGATCGCTTGTGTTTTGAGGTAGCTGCTGAGTTAGAAAAGAAAATATACATTATCCATCCCCTCAGATACCATTGTTCCCAGGACATAAAAATATCTTATCTTTCAGTACTAAAAAGACTCAGTTTTTCTTTAACTTCACTGGCAACAGAGAAGTATCATAAGATGGAATTCATCTCACCCCACTTTAAATGTCTAAATCTGATCTACTTATGTACTTTTCATAGTCAGAAAGAGATAAATAGGCACTTCCATGGCACCTCTATCCCACACAGTTTGATATATTATCTAGTCTGAGTGTTGGAGGTAATTGTGGGATTTCCATGTTGAATCTTATGAGAGAAAGAAGACTCTGATGATGAGATTTAGGGGAAGTCTCACAGAAGATTGATATGAACAGAAAATAAGGTAAACAAGAAACCCAGAGTAAATCTGAAGAAAGTGTGGAACCAAAAAAAAAATCAAAAGAAAGTCAAAGGAGTTCTTGGAAGGCAAAGACACCAGCAAAACCCAGGAGTGCAACTGCACAGAGGTGGAAAGTATCTGTGATGTGGTTCCACACTTGTTGGAGAAAAAGCCCAAAACTGCCAGAGACTGTGAAAACCACAAAGAGTCCTGGCAAGAAACATCTGTTTCTTATTGTCAAAAATATTTTGCCAGTTGGGAAGGATATCGGTTGTAGGGTTTTGCCACTGTAAGTTCCCAGAGAAGGAAACAATATTCAAGGGAAAGGGCCTTGTAAGTGTACATGTATATGAACCCAATTGATTCTATTTTGTATTAGAACTTGTAATGAACACCACAGTTTCTGCACTTCAGTTGCACTTTATGTGGGATTATTTTTCTTGTTCTCTCCATACATGCACATATGTAAAACCATATGTATTTATTAAAAGACTAAGCTGCTACTGTCACAGAAGTAGGATACAACAAAGGGACAAAATACTAAATTTGGCAATAGCATTTCCCATGTTTTACAGTACTGCATAAAACAAATCTATAAATTCTGAGCAGGTTTAGGGGAGGATTACTGCACACTGATAGCTCAACCTGAAAAGATCTTTTTTTCTACATTAAGAATAAATAATAAAGATTATAATCCTCGCAGCAGATTTTTACACCTACATCCAAAGGACGTGTAGGTTTATTACATACTATTACCTATAACAGTGCAATGTCTTAAAATGTGAACCAAACCTTTTACTGAGCTGTACTGCAGACTCCACTGCTGCAATCAATACTCTGAAGAGCCTTATTTTTCTTGGACAAGAGACATATATATATCCGATATTTGAGGAAGCCAGGTGAATAAATCAATAGCTAAACAAAAATGCACTTAATCATATCTGTTTTGGACAGATGCAGGTTGGAAAACCTATTTGGCCCACACATTGTCTTCTGCCTAGAGCTTACACAGGAATCTGTGTTTCCTAAATGGCAACATCCTGTTGCTGGACATCGCTGAAGCTGGAGCGATTACAGTAGCAAGTAATTGTGTACCAGGAGTCCTTCAGCATAAATATGTAACTTAATAACCACCAAATTATGTACTTTGTAAGTTTAACAGCTTTCCTGGAATATGTAGCAAAGATTCACACATTCACTTTAACCTTAAAATCGACTTGGCTGCATTTTCTTACTTAGAGTCAACCCAAGGAGTAATTGAATATACACACATAATTTATCTTTCCTTAATGGTTTTAAGTGGTGACCATTATTGGATATTTCTCATGCTACTGCAAGTGATCATTAAACATACATAATAGCCCTACTAAATGAGTAGATAACTCTAATGCCAAAATTTTCCTCGTTCAGAGGTACATTTGTGCATGGAATCGCTGCTATGCTTAAAGGTGCCCCTTTACTTGACATTACTTAATAAAGCCCTTTGAGATAACCACAGTGCAAGAGATGTTTTAGAAAAGCACAATTTTTATTTCTTCTCTGCTTTAGCCCTAAGCGGTTCAGCATTATTTGAACATCAGCAACAGCACTTCTTTATGAATTCAAAGTCGGAACCTAACCTCAAATTGACAGGGCACCTCGAGATTAAAACTGTGCCCAGCACTCAGAGAAATGGATGTTTTCAGCAGGAAGAAGAGCAACAGGAGGTAGCAACACAACAGTCTAAGACCACTCAAATAGAAGGTTTGTTAAGGTTACACTAAGGAGCCTGTCACAAACACTCTCACAGGAAACACTTTAAGAAAGGCATGAGGAAAAGGACAAAACCACTAAGCTTGGAAAAAGTTCTGTAGCTGTTATTAACATAGAAGAAGGGCAAGATTCCTCCCAACCATCCTTTTCAGCAAGAAGCTGAAAGCTGTCAGGCGCACTGCAACCAATGCAAGCACAAGAAACGGTTATTTTAAATTTTATTTTCAAAACGTGTAATCCTAACAAGAAGAAAAGACAAATAGATGTCTGAGGTCTTCCATTTTCCAGCAGTTAACAGCTACTGTCTGTTTAGGAACGCGGTGAGAGGTCCCTTCTCCGCAGTAAGAGAGCAGAGTGTCTCTGTGGCAGTCAGCCTAAGCCATGGGCGCTGGGAAGCAGCTGCAGGTGTTTTGGGGTGTCGCCGGTGCAGAGGTGACAGCAGCTGGGGCTGCGTGTGACAGGGCTCCTCAGCACACCCAGTCCCGCCGCTCTGCCCGGACAGCCCCTGCTCCCGGAGGGCGCGGAGCCGGCCCTCCATTTTTATTTTCGGCCCGTTATCGCAGAGTTTGATCAACTCAACAGGCGCTTCCGTCCTGCTGGTACGCGGAAAGAAAAGGAATTGCTCTCCTGATGCCACCTATTCTGGCGTTCTCCCTTACAAACCCCTCTCCCCTGTCCGGCGCGCCCGCCCCTCGCGGCCCGCGGGCCGACACCGGCGGGGCCGGGCGTGCGGCACGCGGCCCCCGGCCCGCGGGCAGCGCGGGCGGCAGCGGCGCCGGGCCGCGCTCCGGGGCGGCGGGGCCGGGCGCGGCCGGGCCGGCGGTCCCCGGGCGGGCGGCAGAGGGCGCCCCGCGTTCCGCAGAGCGGGGCCGGGAGGAGCCTCCGGCGCGGCCGGGGAGGGCCGGAGCTGCCACGTCCTCGGCGGCGAGCGGCGGGCGGGGAGCGCAGCCCGTGCCTCAGCCCCACGTGTGGCGGCGGAGCGGGGAAGTTGCCGGCGGCCGGCGCTGCGGACGCTGCTGCTCTCCGCCGCTGCCCGGCCCTTCCCGTCTCTCGGAGCACGCAACTCCAAGTAAGGGCGCGCGGCGGCCCCGCTCCCGCCCGCTGTCCCGGGAGAGGCCGGGGTGCGGAGGCGCCGGGACGGGCGGCGGGGAGCGCCGGGACGGGGCACGGGCGAGCCCGCGGTGTCCCGGGGGAGCCGCGGGGCGGCGGGATCGGCTGCCGGGCGGGACCGCTTCCTGCGGTGCGGATGGGGCTCCCCGCGCTCCGTCCCGCGGCCGGGGTGCCGCGGGTGAGCCCGGAAAGTTTGGTTAGGCGGAGGGCGGGCGGGGAGCCGGGAGCCGGCCGGGGCGGCGGGAGGGAGCTGCCGCCGGGCCGCGCTGCCGGGGCCGGGTGGCAGCCCCCGGGAAACTCCGCTGAGAGGCTGGCCAGGAAAATAACTGCTCCGAAGACTCGCAGGAGACTTTCGGGGTTTATGTGTTGCTCTTTTTTCTTATCTACTTAATTTCGATTCCCAGTCGCGAGTACAGTTGTGCCGGGAAACGACCGAGACCTGTGTTTAAGCAGCCTGTTGGGGAAAAAAAAATTCTCAGGAAAGCATTAAAGGTGACCCAAGAAGAAAAAAAACCCCAATCTGTTCTGAATATAAAAACGTGGGGTTTTTTTTTAAAGCACCGTGCCCTAATTTGTGCGTGTTTTGTCCCTGTGATGAGCTGTCATGAGTTCGGTGCATAGTTTTGTGGTTCTCCTTATTGTTGATTACCTTAATTTTTTTTTTGTTGTGCTTCTAAACCGATTATAGTTAAACCCTTTCTCTTATTTTTCGACCGTTTAAAATGTTCTCTTGTCAGAGTGGTTTCTGTTTCGTGGTCCCTATCTTGCCTGAAATTTGTATGATATTTTTATCGGTCTGTGGGGTGGTGCCACCCTGGGTCGAACCTCTTGGGGCTTCGTGTTTCTCTCAGTTTTGAAAATTTGACTGTCAGTTATTTATAGCTTCCTTCAGAATTTCCTCCTTGAAATTAGCTAGAAGTCTTACAGGAATTCCCCTATGCCATGTTGAAAAAAAGTGAAATTAGTTTCTGCTGGTACATTTTTAATAACTTTTTGCTCTCCTTCTCTCTCTTAATTGCCTTATAGTAGCCTATTTATAACATACAGACCTCCTAAGATGAAGCTAAGAAGAAAACTATTTTCAACCTTTGTTGATTTCACTGATAAATGAAATTGAAATGAAATTGTCAGATAAATGAACTTCTCCTTGCACAGCAGTTTTAGCTGCTGGTTTCCCTAATGCTTTGTAGGAAGGGACATCTACCAACAGGAATTTTAGGTGAAGCTATCAAATGCTGTTCAATGTTTTGGGAGAACTACCTGTTTCTTTAGTGCATTTTCCAGCCTGGACTTGCATAGGCCTCCATTCTGCTCCTTGAGAGGGTTGTGGCAGAGCTGTTGGCCACAAATGAAGGGCAGCACAGAGGAGCATGGACAGCACTGACAGACTTACAGGGATAAAGACAAGTGATTTGCAGAGCTGGGCAGCTTCAGATGCTGCCAGGATGGACACTGGAAAAGTCTCCCAGGGAGTCCCGAGCACACATTACACCTTTCTGGGATATGATTGGTATTCACACTCGGATGGGACTGGTTTGTGTTCAAACCAGTGAACATCGAATGTTCAGTAGTGACTGCATACCCACGCCTCCTGTCTGTGAAACAGCATCTGAGCTTTACAGCTACCCCAGAGCGTGGGGTGGAAATGGGCCTGTGTGAGGTGACAACCCTCAGTAATGCTCCCTAGCTGATCGCTGGGTCATTGCTGCCTGTTTGGAGAGGGGTGTGGGTGCAGTAGCAGCAAGAGAGTGGACCGTGTGCTCACTGAGTGGACTGTGTGCTCACTGGTTGCTGCTAGATCTGTATGCTAGCAAAATAATTTCAATATTTAAAAAAAATCTAATCATGTTTTCCTATGCATTAAATAAACACAGAAGTGCTTTTGCACATATGTATGTCTATATAAGAGGTACATGTACTGATTAGGTGATATGACCTATCTTATTGGATGGTAGATACATTTGATGATGGCAGTATGTAATGTAATGCAGTTTCCTTGTTTATTTTCACAAATTTTCCTTCTCCATCATCTTTCTCCCTTTCTTGTTGCTTTGAAGACCAACAAGGCTCGTCCCAATGATAGTGTTCCACCAAGAAGCAGTGGTGAGAAGCTGAATGAAGTCCTGCATTAAGTCACAGAAGATGGGTCCTGATTCAGCAGACAGCACTGCTGTCATGGGGGCTGTGCTCAGAGAGATGCACAGATCTCTTGCAAAGCTATCAGTGGTAGGGCTGTAAGTCCCCAAGATCTGTAACCAGGTGAGACTTTTCTTTAGAGGGTGAAAGATCCTGAGGTGTCCATGATGCCGTTTTGCGTTGCTTCTTTTTTGGCTTGTTTTGGTTTTAACTTGGGTTTTAATTTTTTTTTTTTTAATTATAGCAGTAACAGCTTCCGAGTAAGTCCTGCATACAGCTGAGGAGTTACCTTCCTTTCTGCTCATTATGGCAAAGAGTTATATGGGCAGATGTGGCCTGTGTGAGGATTTGCTGAGCTCTTAATCCTGTTTGTGGCTGATAGGCCATGCAAATATGGAAGGGCATCTCTTTCAGTATATAAAGGTCTTAACTGCTCACCACCTTAGGGAAACGTGCTGTTAAAATGCTTTAATTGTTTTATAAGTAGGTACAGGCCATGAAGTTGTAGATGTAGAATCCTGCAACAGTGCAGACCGCCAGCCTTTTTTTTTTTTTTTTTTTTTTTTTTTTTTTTTTTTTTTTTTTTTTTTTTTTTTTTTTTTCTGGTTGCTTGTTTGGGTGTTTTGAGAGAGATATTTTTACTTAAGACAAACCATAAAATAATTACTGTAGGTAACAGAGGAAGCAGGCTTTGTATAATGAATGGGGGACACAGCCAGAGATGAGATATTTGTGAGCCCTTTGAGCACGTATATATCTTGAGGGGATAAGCATGTGTGATACTATTCTCTCTGCTGTCTTTTGCTCTGTCACTAGTTTACTTTCAGTATGTGGGTGTTTTGGTCTTCTTTATTTTTCTTTGTTGCATTGTATACCCATTTTAGATGCAAAGAAGTTAGTCACTTTGTACTTTCTTAAAAGTGTGAGCTATTGGGTGTCTGTGTATCTGCAAGTTTCTGACCACTGTTGTAATTAAAAATATTGTACCTCAAAAGGTAGGGCATATCCCAGTCAAATTACTTTGCATTAAAGTTCTGAAAGTACAAGCATAATTCTACGTATATGAGCAACTTGTCAGAGGGGTTATCTTTTGAGTCCATCAGTATTTTGGTCAAAACTTAATGTAAATGAAAGAGTGTGCCGTGCAGTGAATTTTCCACTGCAGTTTCCGGTGAGTGTAGAAAACACCAGTTTTTGCAATTCACGTGTGCTGTTTAAGTAGCTACTTCATTGATGGAGCTGCATTCTTGGGACCAGAGGAGTTACACTGTGTAGTTTTGTGGTGAGATTCTTTGGGGATAAAAAGCTGCTAAGTACCTGCCTGCCTTCCTCTTTGCTCATACGCTCTATTAAACGCATGTGCAGGATAGGACCTTACTTCCACGTTTACCAAGGTTCGGTGGGAGGTGTTGATAAAACCAGAAAGTGGGGCTCGATCTGTAGGTGGAAGATGGACACTGTGTGACACTGACTTTTGCAGCATGCACGGCACTTGACTGTTTGGTTTCTCTTGAGTGCAGGTTGCTAACACAGCCACGCTTGTATTTTCCCTTGTCTGAAAGAGCTGCTTCTGTGACCATAATGCAGTCTCTGACTTGCAAAAATGAGACACAATTATATGGAAATTCAGTGAAAGTATGAGTTTTGAGTGTTTGGATTATCTTTTTTCTTTAAATAGGTAGTAACAATACTGCTGGGCTTTTCCCAGTCCTCTGCAGGTGCCTGTGGACCTGAAGGTAAAGGGCCATAGCAGAGGAGTCTAACTGCATGTAGAATGGGTGGGTATTGACTTCCTGTGTTATGGCAGAGGGTCAGAAGAGGCAGGTTTACAAGGTTTTGTGAAACGGCCTTGTGTGGAAGCAGGAATGCTGAAACTCATTATTGGACTTACCAAAGCCTGTGAACCAGGCTAGAATGTGAACTCGTGACTGGTGCCCTAAGCCTTAATGCCAGCTAACCTCTTTTCTGATCCCTTTCATGATTTTTATTTTATCTTGTTTGGATTGCACTTGTTTTCCATTAGACTTTTTCTTGTGGTCCTTTTATTTGCTCTGGTATTTTTCTTTCTATTTACCCTAGCTTTTCTTTGACGGTTTCTCTGATTTTTTTAAATTGCATTGTTAGATATTTCTCCTGTGCACAAACTCTGTTGTTTACATTTATTCTTCCTTTATTCATCTTCTTACATTTTTCTCCTTTTAACTCTTATTCTTGGAGGAACAAGTTTTACTCTTTGAGACCATCCCTTTCTTATTGATTGCCAGCTGCTTTTATTGAAACTAATTTACATTCTCTGCTCTTATTGTGCTAGACAGAGGACTAGTGATTTTGAGTAAAGCTCTTTCCCAAAAGGCTTTGCTCAGAAATTGTCTCTGTATTTCACAAAAAGAGTGGAAAATAAAGAGCAACATCAGTGCAAAAGCTGCTTCTGCCCAAACCAATGTTTGTGTCTTTGTCACATGAAGAGTAGAAATGTGGCCTGCACTGCTGCAGGCACAAATGACTTTTTCAGGCTGAAATGAGCTGGTCTGGTGATGGGGAGTGCAGAATGATGTGATCTTATGTTTACTTACATGGGCACCCCTTAGACTTTGGCAGTAACAAACCAAATCCATTTTGATTGTGGCTGTGTTCTGCCTTGGTACTGCTGTGAATTTTAATTTTTTTCCATAAATTGGTCTAAAAAAAACTATGAAGAATAAAGATGCATTACAGTTAAAGAGTTGGAAGAGCTATGTTTGCATGATGGTAAACATGGGGAAAAATGCTAAATGAGAGGAGATGCCTGAGTAGGCTTTAACACTCAAAGTACCATCTGTCTTC